GGTCATAGTTTGCATCCTCTCCTCTAGAGAAAGTACCCATAATAGCAGTTTGAATTTCTTTATTCTTAAGAGGTGTTAGAACAATCTAAAATTGGCCCCTCTGCAATTATTTCCTTTGAAAACCTCAATTGATAGATGTTTCTTCAAAGTGACAGAAAATTTACCACTTTGAGGATGTAATATTATATGTGTATATAGTAAACAATAGAAGAACTGAGAGGTAAAACATTTCTGCAAAGTGAACTATCACCCTCCCCACCCCCATTTTATGATCAGTTGTTGTTTATCTTTTAAATTAATGTTCAGGTACCAAGTTGTCTTAATGTGGAATGAGTCACTGTATTCTCTAAGTAAAACTTATGCTGATATGCAGAAAGCTAAGTGGTTTGATGGTTAGCCATTAAGTTAGAAAGTTACTACTTAGGTACAGTTTGGATGATACAAATTCACTAATCCAGGTTATCCTTTTGGAAATATTTGTTTCTAAAACACCAAATTCTACTAGGCAGACATACAAGACACTTGAAGCCATGCAAGTAAATAAGTCAAAATAGACTCAGCTAATAAGGAGCTGTTAAAGATTCCAGTCAGTGTAAAGGAAGAACACAGCATAGAGTAAAAAACATCATTACTTTGTGGGCTGTGGGGGGGGAACAAAATACTCTACCATCAAGGTTCTTCTAGCTGGATTAATAATCAAATAGATATGAGACAGATTAGCAAGAGAAAACCAAAAGTAATACATACATATGTAAGGGACCTCCGCTTACATGAAAGACGCATGCCGAGTTGGCTTAGAGATAGAAAGGGAACATCCTATCTAATAAAAGAGAAACATGGTAATTAGCCGTACGCCCGCTACCCTTCCCATTGGCTAATCAGGGCGATATTCAAATTAAATGCCAGTCAAGATGGTGGCCAACAGCCAGGCAGCTTGAAGCTAACATGAGGCTTGCTTGCTTCAGTGACAGAGGAAACCAATGTTCCCCGCCTGCCTTGCCAGCCTCTGAGCTTGCAGTTTGAAACATTGTTACAAATATAGAAGCTAAACAAAACCCCAGAAACCTGCTTTCAGCCAGCCAGGATCTCAGAGCTGGAGTTGATACAGTGTTTTGATTTTAGAACCCAAACAAACCAGATACCTGCTTTCAGCAGCAGAGACTTCAGAGCTGGAGCCAGAGCTAAAGCTGGCCCAGAATTAAAAAAAAAAAAAAAAGAAAAAAAGGAGCAGTTGGGAGCTTCAGTCACCCGCCAGCCTGAAAACAGCCCTCAGCCCCTCACCCAGGCTGGCCAGGCACCCCAGTGGGGACCCCCACCCTGAAGGGTGTGTGACCAGCTGCAAACAGCCATCATCCCCTCATCCAGGCTGGCCAGGCACCCCAGTGGGGACCCCAACCCTGATCCAGGACACCCTTCAGGGCAAACCAGCCGGCCCCCACCCATGCACCAGGCCTCTATCCTATATAGTAAAAGGGTAATATGCCTCCCAGCACCGGGATCAGCGGAGCCGAGATGCGTCCCGGCACTGGGATCAGCATGACAGGGGGCAGCGCCCAAACCCCCTGATCGCCCTGTGGCTCTGTGTGTGATGGGGCGGGGCCACAACCTCCCTATCCGCCCTGCTCTGTTCATGACAGGGGAAGGTGCCCCAACCCACTGATCAGCCCTGCTCTGTGCCTGATAGGGGGGAGCTCCCTAACCCCCTGATCACCCTGTGGCTCTGTGTGTGACAGGGTGCGGTGCCCCCCCCCCCCCCACGGGCCCTGCTCTGTGTGTGATAGGGTAGAGCCATAACCTCCCCATCGGCCCTGCCCTGAGTGTGACAGTGGTGGCGCCCCAACCCCCTGATTGGCCCTGCTCTGTGGGTGATAGAGGGTGGCGCCCCAGCCCCCTGATCTGCCCTGCTCTGTGTGTGACAGGGGGGAGCTCCTCAACCCCCTGATGGGCCCTGCTCTGTGCGTGACAGGGTATGGAGCCCCAACCCCCCTGATGGGCCCTGCTCTGTGTGTGACAGGGGGAGCTCCCCAACCCCTTGTTCGACTCTGCTCTGTGCGTGACAGGCTACGGAGCCCCAACGCCCCTTATGGGCCCTGCTCTGTGAGTGACAGGGGGCAGCGCCCCAACCCCCTGATTGACCCTGCTCTGTGCGTGACATGGGGTGGCGCCGCAACCTCCCCATTGACCTTGCCTTGAGTGTGACAGGGGGCAGTGCCCCAGCCCCCCAATCAACCCTACCCTGAGTGTGACTGAGGGTGGCATCACAACCTCCCGATCCGCCCTGCTCTGTGCATGACAGGGGGCAGCACCCCAACTCCCCAATCGGCCTTGCTCTGAGCCCGACCAGGGGCTGCACCTAGGGATTGGGCCTGCCCTCTGCCCCCCGGGAGCAGGCCTAAGCCAGCAGGTTGTTATCTCCCGAGGGGTCCCAGACTGTGAGAGGGCACAGGCTGGGCTGAGGGACCTCCCTCCCCCCCCCCCCCCCGAGTTCACAAATTTTTGTGCACCAGGCCTCTAGTGTGTATATAAGACATCCTGGTCTAGGGATGAGGTAACGCACCTGGGAAGTGTCAAAGGATCATTGCAGGATGACAAGAAGAACAGATGTTTAGTAAATAGAAGCTTGTCCTGCCCTACAGAGAAGCCAAAATAAGTTATCTCTGATAGCCTCTTATTATGGCCGAGGTCCCTAATTCAAGTTGTTTTTTAGGTAGTTAAAGGGAGGGACAGAAGTTTCTCTGGAGCCTGCTGCTAAAGTTGCCTCAAAGTAATCTGCATACCACTGAGGCAGATCTTGGGATACATGGTTCTCAGCTCCCACAGTCACCTTTGTGTCAGCTGATTAGAGCAGGACTTGGCTTTAGGAATTCTGCTAGTCTCAGCTGAGCTCACGCAGGTTTCTCTGGCTAAAGAAAGGAGAGTGGGGAGACCAGCAGAACCAAGCTGAGCTCATTAAGATTGATTCTGATGGACATTTTTTCATCTTCCACCTGGGCTAGCAGATTGGCCAAGCTAGTCCTTCTCATAGATGGCAGAGGGCAAGAGAGAGCAAGCCTAACCACTCAAGTGCTTTAAGGATTCTACTTGTAGTACATGTGCTAACATTCCACTGGTCAAAACAACTCATCTGGCAGATCCAAGTTTCAGAGAATAGAACCCTGCCTGCAGTGGAAGGAACTGAAAAATTACATGGCAAATGACAAGAAGGGACAAAGAATTGGAACTGTTAAGGCAATTTACCACAACATGTGTACACTTGAACTGATTAAAGTACATGTGGGCATGATGTGGGATTAAGTGATAAACTAAAAACGTCCATTAATGTCTTCAATTTAGTAGGATACTCTACAGCAATAGTTCTCTAAAAGATTTTTATGCTATGTTTACATCTCTTTCTATTTATTGTATTTGTAATTAAAACAATTTTAAAATATATTTATTTATTTTTAAATTTACTTTAGAATAGCAATATCAAACCCATTACATATTAACAAAAATTATATATGATTAAGGAAAAAAACCCTTTATTTTCTGAAATAAGCAAAAAAAGTTTTACATTTGGCAAATTCCTTTACTGTTTGGTTTAATAGAAGACAGCTTTTTGTGTGTATGTGTGTAATTTGCTTCTGCATTCAATTTTTTTTGTGTGTGAAGAATAGGAAGAAAATTGTTCCTCGTGCAGACATATAGTCAGAAAAAGCAGGAGTAGTTTAACTGCATATTTTTTGATACTGCACACGAATTTGACAAGTGAGAACTTCTTGGTAGTTGTAGTGCAGTACGTGAAACAAAATTACTGAACTGTCTGTACTTTGTTACAGTAAAATCCATTGGTTGATTTTGCATTTTGAATGGACTTTTTATCCATGACATGTAACATCAAGATTGGCCATTTGGTTCACTGAGCTATGAATATTTTCACTGAGCTATGGATATTTTCCAATTACTTACATATTTCATTATGTATTATTTTAAAATTATATATCACTATTAAGCTCAGGAGAAATATCTTTAAATACTGGGAAGGGGTCATATTCATAGAAGTGAGCACAAGCTTTTTAAAATTTTAATTTCTCTTAGAAACTACTTAAAAAAATAGAAACAAATACTATGAGTTGTTTTTCTTGAATTGACAGACTCACACATTTATAATATTGTCTAACGGTTTCTCTTCCATGGGTGGGGGAGTGAGAGTCTTCATTGAGTAAAAGTGGCTTGTTCAGATCGCAACTCAAATAATCACATACGTGCATTACTCTGAAAGAACCATCATACTTCAGAATGTGGTCGAATGTTTTAAGTATACTTCCCACATTAAACCTCCAAATATGAAAATTTTGAGATTTAATACAAATTCATCATCTCTACAGATTTATCAAGGATATTTTAAAGTAGGATGATCTTTCTCCCCCACCCTGTAACTGGATGGCTTTGATGTGCAGTGACAACCAGTACAGTTTGGGGCCCCTGCCTTCATTTATTTATGCTAAGGTGCCAGCAGTTTTGCCCATCACCGCTTTTGCATTATCATTGCAAATATCAACACAGTGGAGAAGGCAAAGAATGTCTTGCTTTATGAAAATTGTTCTGACCTAAAAGTGTTTTGGGAATGCCCAGGAGTTTGTGATTCACTCTTAGTGAACCACTGCACCAAAGGATGAACCAAATTTCTGTTATATTAGCTTGTCAAAGATTTTTTTTTTCTTTTTTCTTTTCTTTTTATCTGAGAACAATCTCTTATTGGTCTTTTTAATTTTTTAAAATTCTTTATTGTTTAAAGTATTACATATGTCTCTTTTTTCCCCCATTGACCTCTTCCCAGCCATTCCCACCCCCAGCACATGCCCTCACCCCACTACTGTTTGTGTCCATGGGTTATGCTTATATGCGTGCATACAAGTCCTTTGGTTGATCTCTTTGTCAAAGATTTTCTTAAAGATATGTGTACGGACTATTTCTAACCATTAAGCAAATTTAAAACTTGTTATTATGTTCTCCCCCAGGGTTGTTTTGTTGGCTTTGATCTAGCGCATGCAGTTGGAAATGTTGAACTCCACTTACATGACTGGGGAGTTGACTTTGCCTGCTGGTGCTCCTATAAGGTACAAATTAGTTAATATATTTATATCCTTTTATTCCCTATTAACATTAACCTAATTAAAACACTGGAAAGTTGACCAATTTTAGCTATTTGAACTACTTTTCTCCATTTTATTAGTATATTTTCTGATTTTAGTTAATTATAGTCATCCAATCTTATAGTATGATAATTAAATTCTGGTGTTTTCATCTACTATAGAGTACTTATTGCTTCAATTCCCTGGCTGCTATAGAAAGTCAGGAGATTATGGGAAAAATAACAACACTTCACACTTAAAAATTAATTCAAATTGATTGAGTTTTTAGTTTTGGTGGGGTTTTTTTAATATGTTGTGAAATTTCTACATGTGTAAGATAATTCTTATGGAATCAAGTTGCATTTGATATTTGAAGACAATTTAATGGACAGGGAGCATAGAAATGGAACTATTTTTAATCTAGGTGTTTTTAAAATATGATACTTTTATTATTACTTAAATATTTTTGTGACAAAATAATTGAAACTAATGAGCTTTGAAATTAGATTGACTTCAGTGGAACTGTTATCTATTAGTTGGGGCAAAATTTAGCCAAAAAAGTAATAGCTATTTATTCTCAATTAACACTTCCACATTTCATTTGTTTTTCTTTGAACAAGGTAACCCAAATTTTATTTTATTATGAATGTTCAAATAATCACACGTATTGAACTGGTCAAAAGTTGGTTTCTTAACAACAATAAGAAAAAGATTACATTGTTTATCTTTGTCATATATTCAGATAAACCCATATAACTTAATTTATTTTCAATCCAGTATTTAAATTCAGGAGCTGGAGGTCTCGCTGGTGCCTTTGTCCATGAAAAGCATGCCCATACAATTAAACCTGCGTGAGTACCATCTTTAGATTCTTCTTTGGTGTTAAATACACTAATTTGCATTAATAATATATTAAATTTACATAAATTCTTTAAGATGCTATCCATTAAGAATCTGGATTGATTATAATCATTTGACTACTATATTAACAATGATGTGCTTTATCAGAAATAAATGCTTCCCAAAGAGCTCAATTGGTTGAACAAGAAATGTAATCACAAAAAGGGAGCTTCTGTAATAGTAGTGAGTCACTGTAAGCATGTAGAGCAGATGGTTTAATGAAAAGAGACTACTCAATTTTTTTCAAAAATTAGACTTTAAAAAAGTTCTGATTTCTCACATCAAAGAATAAATCAAAGGCAACAAGAGATGTGCAAAATAGAGCCTTAAATGTGGTGTTTTATTACTAAAATCACATCTACCTCTAAAGCTAGAAACATAATATGATGATCTTGTAAGGAATGTCTTCTGTCCTAAAAGATTTTATAACCCATGAAAAATGAAGAAGCTGAGCACTAGGCAACAGACTGCCTACATAAAAGCAGAGCTTTTTAAAAATTTTATATAACTTTCTTCATTTTTTAGAGCAAGTGTAAATGCAAATGTGATACACCAACACACAGACACATTTTTATTTGACTGGGGACCTCACAGTGTTTCCTCTACTTTTATCTGTATAGAGATGAATAAATAATATCCTTGGAGACAAACACACACACACACACACACACACCTTTCACAGTTGTATCAGAGTATGGGTGATAAGGAGACTGGCTCTAGTAAATAAGTCATATAATAATATTTGATTAGTTTTCTAAATCTTCCCAGCTACTGGCTGAGTGATATAATCTTTTCAAGAATTGAAGTTGAATTATAATAAAGCTTGGAGCACATCATATTTCTGAGGTTCTGTGTATATGAATCCTAGAAATTTAAGATAATTTTCTATAATTCATTTGATTATATATAAATTTCTTCAAAATTTTAAAGTTTTAAAATTAAATAGAGTTTCTCTAGACAGGTATTTTGTCAGGCAGACTTCTTCTTCTAATGATTGTCAGTTCATTAGATTTCTCCCTGTTTCCCAAATTCTCTGAAAAGAATATAAGCCATATATTATAAGAATATCACCCTATATAAAGAAGGCTAATATGCAAATTGACCAAACGGTAGAATGACCAGTCGCTATAATGCGCACTGACCATCAGGGAGCAGACACTCAACATAGGAGCTGCTCTCTGGTGGTCAGTGTGCTCCCACAGGGAAAGGGCTGAGTGCAGCAGCAGTGGCGAGAGCCACTCCTGCCTCCGCAGCAGCACTAAGAATGTCCAGCTGATGGCAGGGAGTGGGCCTACGCCATCAGTCAGACATCCCCCAAGGGTTCTTGAACTGCAAGAGGACACAGGCCGTGCTGAGGGACACCCCCCGCCCCTGAGTGCACAATTTTCATGCACTGGGCCTTTAGTGCATATTATAAAAGGTCTCTTTTCTTTTTTAAAACATTTTATTGATTTCAGAGAGGAACGGAGAGGGAGAAATAGAAACATCAATGATGAGAGAGAATTATTGATTGGCTGCCACCTGTATGCCCCCTACTGGGGATTGAGCTCACAACCCAGGCATGTGCCCTTGACCAGAATCAAACCTGGGATCCTTCAGTCCACAGGCCAACGCTCTATCCACTGAGCCAAACCAGCTAGGGCAAAAGGCCTCTTTTCAATTTTAGCAGACCTCATGGATAACATTTTATCTAGCATACTTGTTTGCTGGTATATAATATATTGCTGGCTTTTGGGTGAAGATCCATCACTCTGAACACTTTCTACTCTCCACTTATTTAAATTGTAATAGAAGATCTGACATATTATATCATCCCAAAGAGCAAGCATTGGGAGTGGCAGAGGGGGTGTGATAATTAATCTACACAATTCTATAGAATGCAAGTGTTAACAGTTAAGATCTGGGCTTACAACATCAATCTATTACACTTGAGACTTCTTCATTGTTATTTGTCCTTTATGAATGAGGAGCAGGAGAGGGTGAAGGGGTTGTAGTATGCTCACATGTGTCTCAAGTTGTAGAATCCCAACATTCTCTTGATGCTGTAATAGCTAAGTCCATGTTCCCAGGAGAAAGACCATACTAGGCAGGCCAGATTCATATGCTAGCTTGACCACTTGCTGGTCCGTGACCTGAAGAATGGTCCTTGACATTCTGTGCTAGCCTCAAACTAAAGTCAGTGTCAGCATCTACCTCAAATTACTGTGAGAATAAAATGGGATGATGCATGTAAAGTACTAAGCACGGCCACTTAAGCGTTGTATGTGATCCACGCATGTAGGCTAAGAACTTGCATTTTTAACTTGTAAACTTTTGTGTAACAGAGATCAGTTCTCTCAAGCAGAAAACATAGCCCCAAGCATCACATTTTCTGATCTTTAGGACGTTATGCAGTTTTGTGCCTAAGGCCACGTTCATTTCCGCAGGTCTTTGACAGCCTGATGGTCTAAGTTTCCACTCCTTGATTCTCTCTTACATCTTACTGGTTTCCTCCATGATTAATGAGTTGAATGAGATATTTATGTGTATTCATTTTATATTTGTATAAGAGTCGTGCTTTTAACTTTTTTGAAAATTATACTTTATTAACTATTGTTGCATTTCAACTATTTGGCTGTGGAGACTGACAAGACCCAAATCAGGCTTGACTCACAAAGCCCGCCTTACAGGAAATCCTAGTTGTTGTTGTTTATTTATGTGTTAAAGCTTCTTTGATGTGATGTCAGAATGGCTAATTCCAGTGGTACCAACTTATACCCTATAGGGAATGTAACTGATATTGCCGTTGCAAATTTTGTTGCTTAAAAAAGGGTGACATCTAGTGGCTAAACATATTATTTCAAATAAGTAGTATTCAAATAACATTTCTTTTCCTGGTTGAATCTTTCATTCCTTAACAAGTAATTTTAAAGTACATACACACACACACACACACACACATACACACACATTATTTTTCTTTCATTTGGCTATATATTTATAGTACAATAGTTGTGTAGTCAAAGCCTTCAATAAAGAGGTAGAGCAAGGTGAAGTGGGAATTAGTGGGAGGTATTCTAGGTGCATGGTTACACGGCATGCACACGTGTTCGTCAAGGCTGGGCAAGAGGGCATTGTGGCCACCTGGTGTAGAGAGCGGACCCAAGATGTGTAACCCTGCACTATAAAAGCGTAATATTCAGTATATAATTTTGAAATATCTTTTAAATGATGTTTCCATTAACAACTGGTAAATTACATCTCTACCAAGATATTTCACTTCCTTTTTTGTTTTGTTTTTGTTTTGTTTAAATATGCATGTTGGCCATTGTTCAAAACCTATGACCTAAGACTTCTTCCAAGAACATTTTGCCAATAAAGAGAATTAATAGAGGTCAGAGTCAATCCACTGCATTAAGCATCATAACTCAAGCTGTTAGTCTCAACTGGAATTTGACCTTTTCCTAGTTTATCATCCCTTTTTCTCATTCCAGTGTCATATGCTAACCCTTGTATGTAGCTAAGAATTATACTAAATTAAGACTAATCGTGAGTAAATAGCATCTCGTTCTTTTTTTCCTTGAGGGCTGACATCTTTTTAGTCTATAAAGTTAGTAATTATTGCTCTGAGATATGAAGGGGAATACTCTCAATTATAAAAATTTGACAATAAAAATGTATCACTAAATAAAGTGCCTAAATACCTTTGAAATTGTCTTTTTACCTTGATTAATGTTGTGTTTCTGGTGCACTTTAAGTCAATACTTTTGATTTTAGTGACTTCAAATATTTCTGAATTCCATAAAGAGATTATTCTGTAAGTGTCCATAGACTTCAATTCAAGATCACACCATCTTCCCCCCACCTTTTTATTTTTATTTATTTATTTTAAGATTTTTTTTTATTTCAGAGAGGAAGGGACAGGGAGAAAAAGATAGAAACATCAATGATGAGAGAGAATCATTGATTGGCTGCCTCCTGCACGCCTCTACTGGGGATCTAGCCCACAATCTGGGCATGTGCCCTGATCAGGAATCGAACCATGACCTTCTGGTTCCTGGGTCAACTCTCAACCACTAACTCACACTGGCGAACCTCCCCACCCCCCTGCCACCCCCAACCCCCAAGCCTCTATTTTTAGAGAGACTCTAGCATGAATACAGGAATGGATCATATGAGCTATTAAGATTCCTTCTATCACTTACTTTTTTGCCCTGTCCAATGGCATCACATATACCAAAGAACTGCTGTTCCTCACTTTTCATGCTGGTGTAACAAACTTTCCAATGTTCCCAGGTACTAATTCGATCTCTTGAGATACTCATTTCTCCTGGAATTTTAAAAAAACTTTCTGAGTGCCCAAGAATGGGACCTAATGACAATTTTGATGAAAATGCTGGAATTTCAAACCATGCCAACACATTTCCATAATCATCTGGAGGTGTTTGATTGAAGGCTTTAAATAGAGATGACATTTTTCAAACTTCATTAAGAGCTTGAGTCATCTCCTTTATTGTAATAAGCAATTTGCAGGTTAAAAAGGCCCAGCCAAATCGGCTGTCTGACTTCCGTGTGTGGCTAGGGCAAATCTTAGAACTCAGAAAGGTAGTTTAGTATTATTATTATTTGGCAACTTGAAGAAGAAGAAAAGAAGGCACAATAAACAACATTTAGACAAGCCTAAGATACTATAAAAGTAAGCACCAACATTTTAGCAAGAAGATTTAATAATAAAAGATAAGCTTATGCCCTGCTTGGTCCAACTTTACAATTAAGGTTACGGGGTGAGAACGTCTAAAGCACGTTTATTCGGAGCAATGCTCATTTGATGTATTTGATCCCACATACTTCTCCAGGCAATGCTGGAGAGTGCCATGGTCCCACACTTACCTATAATTTAAACCTTGTTTTGGATTCTCAGGGATCCTTTCTGACTTACTAATGATCACATCCTCGTCTGGTATCTGCATAA